TACCATGGTAGAACATTGATATGATATTTATAAAGCATCACGTTACTTTACGAGGATCAGTAATGCTTTAGCCAGGCTCCGGAAGAAAAAAGGTTTTGATATGTTGTTCGTAGAACTTATCTTTTAAGACAAAAAGTTTGACGAAACGATCAGTGAGATACAGATTTGTTTTTTAATATTTAAAAATTGGGGGAAAGGGTGGTTAAATTCAGCTCTCGATCTTGAAATAGTTCCTAATTTACAAAATAATTATGACTGTATTCAACGGAGCTTAAGGACTAAAATCTATAAAATCACTTTATTCATTAAGACATAAAAATATACAGAATGGAATAAAGGAGAACAAATATTTACAAGCCTAGGTCAAGTCTGGATCACAGAAATGCAAGGCAAAAACAATATAAACCTAAATAAGGCTATATGTAAAAAAATTACAACCGTTGATCGTCTGGGTTTTCAATAAAAGGAGGGCTTTTTTTACTTTTCCACAAACAAAACAATTATACATAAGCGCTGTTACAATTGTGGATTGGAATGGGTACCATATTTGTAGAAGAGTATCGTTTTGAGTGCCGAAAAAAACTTTGTAATTGGCGTGGTCGGGTGTCGCTCAAAACCTCCCGAAAGTGTCCCGGGCCCCCGAAAATATTACTTTAGGGTTTCAAAGGCTTATCTAATCGATTTTAGAGTCTATCCAATAGGGCCTAGGCCTATGTAAAAGATACCTATACATTTTTGTTCTCACCAACGAATTGTGATTTTTCTCCCTGACGGGTGAGGGTGGGGGGAGCACTTTCCGGCCCCCGCTGACGCCACCCTTGTGGCGCTCCTATACCTAATCATCAAGCCACAATATACAGTACCTCACCTCTCCTCCCCACTCACTCCCCATCCGCATTTCAGGGCTTGAGGTCGTGAGGGTGGGGTAGGCTGATTTTTCCGACGGGAAAATGACTTTCTAGAACACTCACATGGGGCCGGGGGAACTCCCCTGGGCCCAAAAAATCTGATAATTTCAATTTCAAAACACATCTAATTCAGACTGTTTTACTATTCTTGAATCCGCCCACAATACTTGTCAACTAAAAATAAAAGAAGCACTTTACATTGCTTGGGAAAATCCGTCACTGAACAAACAAACAACTCATTACAATATCACCCTCTCATTCTAATTCCTATATACATGACTTACGATAGTACTCCTGACCTCTCTTTACATGACTTACCTTAATATTTGCTTTTTTCGACGGGAAAATGACTTTCTAGAACACTCACATGGGGCCGGGGGAACTCCCCTGGGCCCAAAAAATCTGATAATTTCAATTTCAAAACACATCTAATTCAGACTGTTTTACTATTCTTGAATCCG